GATTCCCTGAGTCTGAGTCAAAGTTATTTCCCCAGAACTAGAGGCTCTGCAGACAGGTACCCTCAGCCTGGGTTGCTGCTGTCTGATCCCACAGTCCTGAGGAAGCAAGTTCTGGGGTGAACCACTAATCCACCCACCCACCCACTATTCCTATACACTGCTGCCACTGCTTCCTAGACCACGGTCATTGCTCTCTGTAGCTGTGGTCCCTGTCCTGGTCTTGCCTTACCTGTTCTTCATGAAAGCTCCCTTATCATGCCTGTTCGTCAGGGTTGAGGTCAGTGCCTGGAGGAGAACCTGGCATGGAGCTAGTTCAATAAATAAGCAAATATCCCAAGAGTGCCTCCAGATGTTTGAGACAGGTGTTGAGGTCTGAGCCTGGTCAGCCTGACCCCTGAGCACTGCTCACACTATTTATTTTATTTTATTTTTTTTTTTGCTCCTGACCCACATGTAATTGAGCATGAAACAAAGGCTCATTTGGGGATTCCTATATGTCTTTAATAGCTGGATAGGACAGAGCCACTTCAGGACATTCCTTGGATTTTTTTTTTTTTTTTAACCTCTGATCCTATAGCAGATGTAGAACTTATTGGAACTTCCTCGGTGTTATATTTCTTATCCTTGTAAAGTTGTTCTCGAGGAAAGCATAGAAGAACAAAGTTGGAGCAATCCTTCTAACTCTCATACTTTGATCTATAACTGGGCCTTGGCCTTAGAGAATTTCCCAGCACAGCATACTAAAAATTCTACCCCAGCTGAGGTTTGCAGACTGAATAAAATCATATTTAAAAAGTCTTAGATGGTCTTAATGAAAAAGAATTCACAGCATAAAGGAGATAATGTGTTTCCCAGACATCCACCTTGGCTTCCTTTCTGCTGGAAACACAAAGGCTCTTTCCTTTACCCTCTTATCAAACAGAGGCAGAATCGGGCAGCCTCTGTGTGAGGCCAGGCTTCACTGCTCAGGTCTTTTTGTATTTGACTTATGCATTTATGCAGCATTTGGTTTAAAAGCTGACTATGATCTTCTGTACAGGCAAATGCCCTGTGTCTTCCTAACCTTATTCTGCCCGTGCTGTGACCAGTCTCCAGGCACAGCCTGGTCTGCATATCTGTACTTCAGTGGAGCTTGTTAGGTCTGTCTACCTGACCTCTCTCACCAGCACCCCTCATAATCTTCAGACTTGGTAAGAGTCCCACGTCCTGGCCTGGTCTGGGGAGCCCTGTCTATGATGAGTCCCACATCCTGGCCTGGTCTGGGGAGCCCTGTCTATGCTATCTTCAACCTGAGGCTTGGGCCAGGACTGAAATCCTAGACACCACCCCAATCCATGTGTCCTCTTGACCTTATCCCAAGCACATACCCAACAACATCCTAAATGGAGAAAATCCCGAAGCAACACCATTAAATTAAGGAATGAGACAAGATTATGCACCACCTCCCCTTCTTTTCCATACAGTACTTGAAATGTCATCTGTAATAATCAGACAAGAAGAGAAGGAAATTAAAGGAATACAAAGACCTGAATGTGAACCCTCAAATGTCAAAAGTGCTCTAAGAAAGCATAGGCAGCATCCTAGGAGATGTGGGTGTAGAAAAGGACTTTCTGACTAGGACTCAGTTTTCCCAGAAATTGAGGCCAACGAAGGACAAGCAGGACCTCATGAAACAAAGAAGGTTTTGTAGAGGAAAGGAAACTATCAGTCAGTTGAAGAGGAAGCCCAGAGAAAATCTTTGCCAGATATCTGTTTGATAGAGGATTAATATCTAGAATATATAAAGAACAAGACAGCAACAATGGAAAAAAACAGAACAGAATCAACAAAACAAACCAATTAAAAATGGTCTGTCTTTGAATAGAGAGTTCCCAAAAGAAGGAACAAAAATGGCAGAATAGCTCAAAAAGAGTTCATCATCTTTAGCAATTGGGGAAATGAAAACTCCCTAGTCACAATGGCTAACATCAAGAAAAGCAACTGAACAAACAAACAAACAAACAAACAAACAAACAAACTACCGACAAGTGTCAGCGAGGATGTGAAGAAACGGGAGCCCTCATTCACTACCCGATGGATTGTAAACTGCTGTAGCTGCTATGGAAGTCATCATAGAAAATTCTCAAAAAGCTAAAAATAAACCCATTATTTGACTCAGTTATACCACTCCATGACATATTCCCAAAGGACTCACATCCTACTCCACAGATATTTGCTTAGCTACGTTCATTGTCACCCTATTAACGGTAGCCAGAAGCTGGGAGGTGGTGGTACACATCTTTAATCCCAGCAGTTGGGAGGCAGAGGCAGGTGGATCTCTGTGGGTTCAAGGCCAGCTGGTCTACAGAGTGAGTTCCAGGACAGCCAGGACTACTCAGAAAAACCCTGTGGTGGGGGGCAGGGGGAAGACAGGAAATGGAACATCTTAAATGTTCTTCAAGTGATGAATGGGTGATGAAAATGCTGTGCATATAAACAAAGGAATACTATTCAGTTATAAAAAATGAAATCATGAAACTTGCTGGTGAATGGATGTAACTAGAAAATACTGAGTGAGATGACCAGTGCAGAAGGACCACAGAGAGACTCAGAGAAAAAGATAATGTGGATAGCCAGTAGAGGAAACAGTGCAGAAGGGCAAGCACCATATTTACACTCTGTGAGAAGCTAGACCTTGTCACCAGGCCTTCCATAGATGAAGAATTATAACACACAGAAGTCGCATCACTTGTACAAAGTCCTTGGGCCAGTAATGGCAGAGTGAGAGCTCCATCTTTAATGGCTGCCTTTGGAGTCTATACTTCTCCCCAGGTGTAGTGCTTCTCAAAGTACACAAAAACATATAACAGAACCTGATGTCTAGCCAGAGCCTTGAGCATGGGTCAGACTGATAAATTTGCATGGACAGACTAACAAACACCCATCCTTAAGATGGTTACATGATAGTCCTGTGGCCATACGAGATATGTACAAAGTGACCTGAATGGGCTCAGCTGTTCCTTGAAGATATGAGTAGGGAACAATGATTTGGAGGGGTGATAAGAGGACTGGACTCACCAGTGATGGCCTCGTACTTAGAAAACCAGCCTGAGTGTGAGACTAGTGGGCAAGAACATAGAAATGTATGAGGCTCTATTATGTGTGTCTGTGAGAATGTGGGTTGGTGTGAATATGTGGGGGTTGGTGTGAGTGTGTGTGTGTGTGTGTGTGTGTGTGTGTGTGTGTGTGTGAGGTGGTCTGGGTGCCCCCTGTTTGTCCCTGTTACTGGTTCAATCTTCATGACTAGCCTATGTGGTGGTATGTTGTGTAACCTAATAAACTTATCCGGGGATCAGAGGACAGAACCAGTCACTAGATTAGACATAGAGGCCAGACAGTAGTGACACACACCCTTAATCCTATCACTTGGGGAGGCAGAGATCTGTCTGGATCTCTGTGAGTTCAAGGCCACACTGGGAACAGAGTCAGGCAGTGGTGGCACATGCCTTTAATCCCAGCACTTGAGATCTCATGCCTTTTCTTGGAAAGCACACACGCCTTTAAGCCCAGGAAGTGACATGGCTGGGTGGAGAACGGTGTATAAGGCTTGAGGAGACAGGAACTAAGCAGAAATTCACCTGAGACCCTCAGGGGTGAGGACTCAGAGGCTTTCAGTCTGAGGATTTGTGGAAACAGAATCGGCTGAGGAGTTGGCGAGGTGAGGTTGGCTGTGGCTTGTTCTGTTTCTCTGATCTTTCAACTTTCACCCCAATATCTAGCTCTCCAGGTTTTCATATATATATGAAAAACCTTTTAAGATTCATGTTACAGGCCTAACCTTTCACCTATATCCTGAAGTTCATGAGTTTGTTCCTCTGAGGACTGAACATTCCTAGAAGTGGGGGCAGGTGCTATCAGCCAGCTAGGACAAACTCTGGTGACGTGAGGGTACCACACCTCATTCCTTGCCATCATCCAGTTTTGTATCTCCTCACCCAACCTCCTCTAGGAGACAGTTCTTAGAGTCATCTGCTAGAGTGAGCACAGCAGCCACACACCTCAGGCAGAGGCAATACTTCATGGGGCTCAGTCTCACAACATGGGTTATGAGGACTGGCCTAGCTCCTTTCTCCCAAGTGTGGCAGCCACTATTCGGCATCTGCTGGGGACCAGCCTCAGCAGTTTTGGGGGTCCGAAGGATGGGATACCTGGAAGGCGCAGTAATGACTCAGAGACAGTGCTCGTGTGAGCTGACAGGTCACTTCCAGCTTCTGCAGTTGCTAAGTAGCTTCTCTGCTACAGCTTCTTTAGCTTCTGCTTTTGCCCTGAAACAGAAAAAAAGGAGAAATCACCCAATACAAAATATTCTCATGATTCCAAAGGTTATTCTTAGAAAATCACCAATATATTCTTCATCATCTTTTACTAAACATAAGAACTATCCCAAACTTAACACCAAAGCAAGCATAATCTATTTTTATTATTAATGATTATACAATCTTCTGAGCACTTGACCCAGAGGCTAGCAACATGCAATTTTGCAAAAAAAAGTTAAAAATAAGAACAGTGGTTAATATACCAGACAGTCATTTCCTTCTCACACAGCCTGCTCTGACCTCAAGACCCCTGCAGCCGCCTAAGTTCCTCCTCAGCCCCCTGCAAACACCCAGCCCCATGACTGGTGGGCCACAATGATCTCAGACAAGAAATCTGCCCTTGCAAGTCAGCAACTTATGTCCTTCTTATCTCAACAATGCCAAGGAAGACCTGATCCAATTTTCAGAGCTTCCATGAAAGGAAGCTCACCTTTTCTGGCAGCTCTTTTCAATCTAGGAACCCAATTAAACTTGCAGCAATTACTCCATCCATTGCCACATTGTCTCCACACTCCTTCTGGAGGAATCAAAATATCTGGATTAAAGTTGCCATTTCCCTTTCTTGGTGGAGACCACTATTTTCCTCCTATTCTAGATTCCCACACTTTTAGTTTGTCATCCCATTTTATGTTACTCCATCCACAGTCTTCAGCCAATACCCCTTAGGGTCTCAAGTTTTACACAATGCCCTTGGAATATCCTCAGAAACTGAATTATTCATCATGGCCAATTTGAATCCAGTGTGTTGACACACATCATACCTTGTGCTATAGTTGACCATACATTCGGTATAGTTTATCCAAGCCTGAAAAGCTTCCCCAGGCTGCAGGTTCTTTCCCATGACCTGCATAACTGCCTTAACCCCAGCCTGGGTGATCATCTCTGTATAATTTCCAGTGAAATTTACTTCACTCCTTTCCTGTATCACAGAAATCACCATTGATCTAGGAACACAGAACAGGAAGATCAGATAGAAGAAAAAGACCAGCATTGCAAGAAGTAATTATAGGGAGGAGAACATGACATGTGCATGGCATAAAACATGACCTTGGAACACATAGGTATTTCTGCCTTGGCCCTCTAGAGGCATGCTAAGCAGAAGATCTGGAGGGGAATGCACCGAGGGTTGATGGTCCACAATCTTGGGTCCCCTTTTCTCCAATCTCTGCTGGCAGCACGCCAGACATCTTATATGCCATCCCCGGCAGGCATCCAGACATGTAGCAAACATTGCAGCTATCCACCTTCTCTCTCACTGAAGTGCCTTTGCAAGTGGGAAGGGGACAGGATGGCAGGGTGTGGTTCCTGAGCCCCTTCCTGTTATTATCATCTTGATCTAATTTATGAAACTTAGAATGCCAGTTTGCCTTAAAAATATATTCAGACTTAAGATGACCGGGTAGTCTTCCTTGAGCTGTGTTAATAAATGGGCCTATGAAGACAGGGTTGTACATATGGAATAATGAAACACAGGATAGTGACTAAGTTTGGGTTTTATTGTTGTGAAGAGACACCATGACCATGGTAACTCTTATAAAGCAAAACATTTAATTGGGACTGGCTTACAGTTCAGAAGTTAAGTCCATTATCTCCACGGAGGGAAGCATGGCAGTGTGCAAGCAGACATGGTGCTGGAGAGGGAGCTGAGAATTCTACATTGGGATCCACAGGCAGCAGGCAGAGATTGTCACACTAGGTGTAGATTGAGCATCTGAGACCTCAGAGCCTCCCCCCAGTAACCACTTCCTCCAACAAGACCACATCTCCTAATAGTGCCTTCCCTCTGAGTCTATGAGGGCCATTTTTTGTTCAAACTACCATAGATAGTCTCTCTTTCCTTGGTCATGTGCTAGTCTCTAGGACATGGAATGGTGGCTACTGGCTAGTGACCAGTGTGAAGTCACTGGTCCATATGTGTATGAACAGGAAGGTCTTAAAGGCATCCACTAACTATGAAGTCCCCCATTCTTAAAACACTGTCAAGTATATGAATGGTTCACCTCTGCCTGAATTCAGGGAGTGTACTGCTTTATATCTGAGATACAATATTTAGCACTCAGGATTATTCCATATCAAACCTCATTTTCTAGCTGTTTCTTGCTACCAGAAAAAACTTTGAGATCCTGACTTGTGGTAATTTTACTTTATTTATCTGTAAAATATAGTAGCTTTTCAGTTTCTTGTGAAAGAGAAAGGCCTCTCTCTCTCTCTCTCTCTCTCTCTCTCTCTCTCTCTCTCTCTCTCTCTCTCTCTCGTGTGCAGATAGACTGTATTGGCAGGACATCCTAATTCTCTGTACACTGTGTGCAGAGCCCAGGCTGTTGTTCTTTGGGGAGGTAACTAGAAAGTAGTAACAGTGTTCTGCTGGCCCATGTGAGGCTTGTGCTGTCTTTACATCTACTGATGTGATGTATTTTTGCACCGCTTCCCAGCTGGGTCCCCTCTGTTATTCTTACCTTCCACTGTCTCCCAGTAAGGAAGAGTTTTCTGGGAACTTTGTAAGTGGCAAGTCAGCTCAATGGGCGGATGCTCTGGCCCCCAGGATGCACAGTGAGCTACCCCACTTTCCTTCAAATTCGTACATGGTCATGCACTAGGATGTGAGTACAACTGTAGGAAGGAGGTAGAAATGGTCCCTGACAGGAAGAAAGGACTCTCTATCTCCTGTGGCTCCAGTGCTGTCTACTCCCTGCCTTCAAATGTCCCCATTTGTGGCCCTGTGGCTGTAGGACTCACACCTTTTCACGAGGGACAGGCCATGGGGGAGGAGCCACTCTTTTGGGGCTTGATAAGGCCTTCTTGGGTCCTGCCTTCTGTGCTGCTTACTCTATTCTGGTTAGTTTCGTACAGTGAAGTTTAGTGTATTTTAAGGACACAGTTACATGAAAAGCCAGATTTTGTTGGTACCTACACCTTCTAAGTGGATCTGTGGGGGAGTGGATAGCTATTGTGAATCCCCACAGCTAGAGTCGTGGCTATGCATTCTTTGATTCAGCTCTGAAGCTGAGCTTTTATTGAGACCTTTCTGGTGTGTAATAGAACTTAGTACTGAGAGATTCTGGGACACAGTTCTCCCGAGTTTTTCCTTTTGATGACCTACACAATCTCTCCTCTCAGGTGACACAGGGTTACTTAGTGAAAAACTGGGGCCTGTAGTGTGGTTGGCCTGGGGACACTCTCCTGTCTACAGTTTATAATTGTGTGACCTTGTCTGTGTGGTTTCATAGCTTCAGTTCGGAAACCACAGCCAGAAGTTTCTGTATGTTCACCAACCGCACCAGATCATTTCTTACAGTCCATAAAATCTCCAGGGTCTGTGATTCTACAAAATAGTAGCCAGGCAAAGAGAATTAACTTAGATTTTGGAGGGAAGAACCTAAAAAATATTGAATTTTAGAATACTTATTCTCTGTTGGTGATACAGCATGTGAGGAGTCTTATTATGGGATCTATCAGGTAAATCACAGAGATCTTCAAGCACAAAGATCAAAACATGACAGCACATGCAGGCCAGAGAAGTAGCCTCCAGAGGAAGTGACAGACACAGTGGACTGGGCACTCCATGTGGCTGCAACCCAATGCAAGTGCTTTGGAGAGATAAAGCCAGGAGAAGGCCATCAGGGACATATACTAGGTCCTCTCATGATAATTTCCTCACATCAGCTCTATTCCATAATAGCTTTTTGCCCTTGAAAGCCTCTTACCTCAGGTCTAGGAGCTGATTACAGCATGAAGATCAGACACAACCTACCGTGGGCATTCTCTACCATTCCTACACATCTCAATTGAGGCTACCCATCACAACACATCACCACCCTGGGAAGGAGAGAGGGAGGTGTAGGCTCTGCAGGGAGGTCTTATGTGGCAACCTGACACTTCAGAGGCAATTGCTAACGAAACTGCCCATTCATTAACAGGTTCTGAAACCTTCCTCCCAGCCTTTACAGCTCCATGGTCTAGAATCCACCAATATCTCTCACAGCTCCATATTCTAGCACCCACCAATGTCCCTCATAGCTCCATGTTTTAGCATCCACCAATATCTCTCACAGCTCCATGTTCTAGAACCCGTCAGTATTCCTCACAGCTCCATGTTCTAGAACCCATCAGTATCCCTCACAGCTCCATGTTTTAGAACCCACCAGTATCCCTCACAGCTCCATGTTCTAGAACCCATCAGTATCCCTCACAGCTCCATGTTTTAGAACCCACCAGTATCCCTCACAGCTCCATGTTCTAGAACCCATCAGTATCCCTCCCGATCCTCCTGTCTCCCACATCCCAAATTCTAGTAGAACCAGGTTGTCTGGAATGCTTACAAGCAAAGTGTGTCTCCAGCCGTGGTGGTAGTGGGTCCTCCACAACTGCTAAAGTGTCCTCAGAGTGCTTATGAGGTGTATGAAAAAGCTGGGCTGCCAGGCTGCCAGTGCGGCCAGGGGCCAGGAACGTGGCTGCTGGATTAACTGCTCCCCACTCCAGACTGCCAGGCGCAAGGGAAGGGACTACCACATGGCCACTCTTGACAGTTCTAATCATTTGCAGAAACACATTAAAAAAGATGTTTAAAGACTTAACCAAACCTCCACAAAACTAACAATTTCAACACCATTAGCACCTAGTAGTATTTATCAGTCCTGAATAGTGCTTATATCCTGCTCCAGTGTTCCAGAGAAAAGAGGCCTCTGATTTATTTCATCATAAGGACATGCAGTTTTCCATTCTTGCACCCATCCATCCCATCTTTGGGAAGAGAGAGAATGAGACAATGTTTCACTGTGTAGCCCAGGAAGACTGGAACTCACTGTGTAGACCAAGTTGCCTTAGAACTCATTATGTAGAGCAGACTGCCGGGAACTCACTGTGTAGCCAGGATACCAGGAACTCAGTGTGAATCTCCAGTCTTAGACATCCAAGGGGGCTGATATTACAAATGTGAGTGCCACACCCAGCTTCCTGATGGGCCTTAAAAGGCGATTTTAGCCAGAAGCTGGGTTTTCAAGAACACTGAAGAGCACATGCCCACTAGCAGAGGGGACACACACTCAATAGGGAGAGGCACTCTTCACCTGTGATTCTCCAGCACCAATGGCGGCTTCTGAACTGTTTAGTCCCATGTTAGATTAAAACTGCTAACAAGTTAAAAGACTCAGGATTGCTGGAGCACACTGCACTTTATCAGTTTGCCACGAGACTTGACATTTCAACAGCCGAAGGTTGCTGAGCTCCACAAGGCAGTTTTGAGGCCAGATGTCACAGAAAGTCCCTTAGCCCTGGTGACTATTCATGTCTGAAGATGGGGTGAGGCAGACGTTAGAATTCCTAGCCACTCTCCAGCTACATGACCACACATGCGCTGTCCAGTAGCCAAGCAGTAGGCTTAGTCATCCCAGGGCCTTACGTTCTACGTAATCTGATCATGTAATTTGGGAGCAGCGTTATCATGCAATCTATGCGCACATGTGTGGCATAGCTACTTAAGCCCATATGCGCATGTGCAGGGGGAACCTATAAAAAGCGGGTTTCATCTATCCCTCCTCTCTCTTCCTGCACGAACTTTCCATAGGCCTAAGCACCACCTTCTGTTCCTTTCCCTTAATACACTCTTAGAGTGGGTTCTGTTGAACCTCATGGCTTTTCTTGCACAGTAAACAGCACTACTTAATGAATAACATTGCACCACTTAATAAATAAATAACAGCAGAGGCCAGAAAAAACTGGTTCCAAGTAAGAGTGAGGATTAGGGTCTGAACACTGATGTGATTTGAAATAAGCAATTTGATCTATATTTGATAATATTCATTTTCCTATTCTGTTCCCTGTTGCTTCTGCTTGGATTGCTGTAGGCGCATGATATCACAGTAGCCAGCATGCGGCGTCTATTTATAGACCAGATCATAGAACATGGACCTATGAGTTGTTACTTAGATTTGAGCTTCTTGAACTCTTTCCTGCTTACAATCTGTTTTCACCAAAGGAATTTTCACACAACTCTATGAATACAGGTGCATAAAATTGGTTTGCAAGTCAAGCATTTACAGGCAATGAATCATAAACAAATTTATTTCAAAAACAGTTCTTCTGTATAATATAATTTTAAAGACATTAGCAAATATCTATACTAACAAGATAGAGTTGCTTATCATTTACATAAAAATTAAATCTTGGATGACTATTTGAAACTGCAGGATGGGGAGTATCCTCAATGCTTTTCAGAATCTGTCCATACTTTGATTTTATATTGATCAATGCTGAGAATGATGCTTCACAAAAAATATATGGTACAAGATGGTAGAAATAAATTTAGGAACATTTCAGACATGGCTTGAAATTTTGTCCTAATCGAAAGTCAAAATTTATTTGACTTTTAAAGTTAAAGTTAGGTCAGCAACTTGAACAATTTTCAAAATCAAACATTCTAATACTATGAGCTCCAAAGGTTTTCTAATTTGACTCTGACATGCTGAGGAGTGACAGTATTAACATAATACCTTTGCATTGTGTAGGGAAGCAATTGTTTCCCTAAGCACGGAAC